TTTTATATTTAATCTTAACATAATTCCAAGTAACCAGGACAACTGCTGGTGGGCCAAATCAAATGCTTGGTGGGCCAGTTTTGGCCCGCGGGCCCCACTTTGGGCACCTCTGCCCTAGAAACTTCTGGTGAATTTAAAATGCAAATGAGTGATTCCAATTAAAACACACAAGGTCTATACAACTCAGAGGAAAAAATAAGATTGGCTGAAAACATCAGAATGTGTGTTTGGTGAGTCTTTTTTTTTAAATAAAAGCACAATGGAAAGCTGATGTTGGAAGTTCAAGGTAGGGCAAAACTCCTAATTTGGTTTTAAAAATAATAATAATACTGAACTGGTATTGTGTGTAGTTCCACAAGAGGGCAGCAGTGAACCATTTATTCCCTCTGGGTGGAAGAAAACCGCGTTTTGTTGATCTCGCGAGAGTTTGAGCCCATCTGTTCGTAACGCCGCCGCCGTAGCCCAGTTACTGTAGGTAGGGGAACAACACGAGACAGRCCGGACATGTTAAAATAGTCCGTACAGTGTAGGATCTTGCCTGGCTTTTTCTTGAGTTTACGGAGGAGCATTAAATGATGAAGAACTACACGTTTACATCAGAACCAGTTTGTTGGAAAATGACCGTCTGAATCACGAAAACAGGAAGAAGAGAGAGAGAAAAAAAAAATCTGTTGAGTGATAGTATTTCGAACCGGTCAGCTTCTTCTTCAGCCTGTGCGGGAGAATGGCAGCTCCCCGACCGATTAAAGGCATACTAAAAAACAAGAATAGCAGCAAGAACGTGAAAGTGCTGCCGGAAGAACACACAGAGCACGTCCCGGAAGGACTGTCTGAAGATGACCACCAGTAAGTTCCCTGCTCCGCCGTGTTGGGTGTTACCCTGCGGAGGTAGCCAACGGTAGCTAAACTTGTTAGCCTTACTCCGCAGACCCCTCTGTGTTTTTGGCGCTTAATGTTAGCCAACTGTGTCTGCTGACTGAATTAGAACTTCATGGGGGGTTTCTCAGCAGTAATAAGGGGTTTGTCCTGCTTGTCACTATATATATATTCGTTTTGTCGAGATAACATGGCTAACGACACCGTAAGTTATTGTTTGTGTTCGTTACTGCTGGCAAACTACAAACAGCTTCACCTCTCCCTCAGGATAACATTTTATATTTAGAGTCAGGGGTCATTAGGACTGGGTAACGATCATTATACCGGTTATGACTTGTGCATTCGGTCAATGTTTGATGGAACTTGCCTTCTAGGTTTTTAAACTCCCACCCAGTGCTTGTTGGGCACAAAACCAGCAGTGTTTTAGTACATTTGATAGCGTTTATTCTACTACAGGTAATGTTATTTATAGTTAATATCAAACTTATTAAGTTATTMTTGCGTTTATGAGTCACAGACTATCAGATCTGAATTGTTTTATATTTGCCTTTACTTTGTTGACCACTGGCAGGAGTAGATGTTTGACTAAATTGTGTTCATTAATGAGTCATGAGGCTTGTTTCAAACGGTTTAAAAAGCATTGTAAAGCAAAATAAGTTGGAGTGTTTCAACAGCCTGGTTGTAAAAATGTGAAGGTTGTGAAAGGTGGGTGTGGAAGTGCCAAATCAGCTCTTCTGCTGCCCAGTGGGCCCGTTGCCTTAGGGCTGAAGTGACACGAGTTGGATGGACATCGATGTGTCATTTAGTCCTCCATCCATCCATCCATTTTCTTCCACCTATCTGGGGTCGGGTCGCGGGGGCAGCAGCTTCAGAAGGGAGGCCCAGACCTCCCTCTCCCCAGCCACTTCTTCCAGCTCCTCCGGGAGAACTCCAAGGC